CAACCACCTCATGACCCAACCAACCACCCCATCACCCAACCATCCAACCCAAGAGCCGATCTGTTGAGGGAAGAGGCCAAGGCCCAGGTAGACCTGGAGGTCACCTGACGTGATAGGACTCACCTGAGAGGAAGGTGACCTCGCTGAAGAGCATCCACTCCCCGGCGAAGAAGAAATGACATTGGATGAAGCGGGCCTGGCGCCCGCCCAGAGGGACGGTGACCGAGCGGGCGCTGGGGTCCTTGATGGCCCCACCCAGGCTGTGGGTGGCCGGGGTGGGCTCCCAGGCCGTGGCCAAGCTCCTCTTGAAGCGACACTCCACCTCCCCGAAGATGCTGACCCCCCGCGTGTGCATGTTGTTGCAATGAACCTGGGGGGGTGACGGGTATTGGCCGCCATCCCATGATGCCCTGGGGCAGGGCTAAGCCAAAGGAGGCCCCAAAGGTGGGGTTGACCTGGTGGCCCCTCATTGATCCATGCCATGGCCAACCAATCCCACAATTCCCTACGCAGACCCCCCTTGCCCAAACCCCCATGATGCCCTGGGGCACCTTATTGTCCTCACTCCCATGATCCCCCGGGGCCTCTCGTTTCCCAGCCCCCTTCCACGCCGCCCTATGGCACCCTCTGTCCCACTCTGTGAGCCCCCGCACCTTCCCGCTATCCCAGCATGCCGTGGGGCACCTGCATGGCGCGGAAGACCCGGAGCCCCTCGAACTCGAACTCCAGCTCCACGTGGGGTCGGGGGCCGGGGGGTCGGCGCCATCCCACGTAGTCGTAACCCGGCCAAAGACGTCGTTTTCCGCGCGAAGTCGTCCAATCCCAGCACTCCGTCCGCCAGTTGGCCCAGCCCCCCAAACTGCAGCCTATGGGGGACGGGGGACACGTGGGCACCAGTCCCACCATCCCACCTACCAGGTAACACCCCCATGGAGCAATCTGGGGGGTCAAGGAGCTCTTGGACATCTTGGTCCCACGATCCCACCTCACCACGGGGCAATCTGGGGGTTCAAGGAGCTCCTGGACATCTTGGTCCCACCATCCCACCTCACCATGAGGCAATCTGGGGGGTCAAGAAGCTCCTGGACATCTTGGTCCCACCATCCCACCTCACCATGGGGCAATCTGGGGGGTCAAGGAGCTCTTGGACATCTTGGTCCCACGATCCCACCTCACCACGGGGCAATCTGGGGGTTCAAGGAGCTCCTGGACATCTTGGTCCCACCATCCCACCTCACCATGAGGCAATCTGGGGGGTCAAGAAGCTCCTGGACATATTGGTTCCACCATCCAACCCCCAATGGAGCAATGTGGGAGGTCAAGAAACTGCTGGACATCTTGGTCCCAGCATCCAGCCCCACCATGGGGCGATCTAGGGGGCCAAGGAACTCCTGGACATCTTGGTCCTACCATCCCACCACACCATAGGGCAATCTGGAGGGTCAAGGAGCTCCTGGACACCTGGGTCCCACCATCCTACCCACCTGGGACCCCCCCATTGGGTCTAGAGGACAATTCGGGGGCAATCGGGGCTGTTTTGGGGACAGTTGAGGACAACTGGGGCCAGATGGGGCAATTTGGGGACAGTCTGAAGCTCTTTTGGGACACCTGGGGACAGTTTGAGGCTGTTTGGGGCCAACAGGTGAGAATTTAGGGACAGCTTGGGCTGTTGGGGACAGTTTGAGGACCACTGGGGACATCTGGGGAGGTCCAGGGACAGCCTGGAGACACTTGGGGATGGTTTGGGGACATCTGAGGACTCACGGGCCAACACTGTATCCGTCGTAGGTGGAGTCGTTGAGGACGATGGGCGCCGGGTCAAGGGCCATCACCTGTCCCCGTGGCGCCGTGTAGGACAGGAGCCCAGCTGGGAATGGGGGGTGCGTCACCACGGGGCCACCATAGCCTCAGCTGGAGGCAACGTGGGGATGGGGGACCACCATGGTCTTGCTTGGAGGCAACGTGTGGATAGGGGACCACCATGGTCTTGCTTGGAGGTAACGTGGGGATGGGGGACCACCACCCTTTGAGATGGGGTGGGGCTGGTGGGAGTGGGCTGGAGGTGACGTGGGGGGGTGACGAGGTGGGGAGGTGCCAAGGAGGGGGGTGGGGAGGTGCCACTCACCATCCCACGGGCAGCCGTAGATCTCCAGGCGCAGGCAGACGCTCATGGCGCGGGGGGGCCGGGGGGAGACACGGC